GCATTATTCTTCCGACGTCTGATTTCTTTTTAATTATAGGAAATGCGTTTTTCTAAAGTACATAAACTTTAGGGATTGACTGTATAGCCAATACATCCTTAATTGTTTTGTACAATTATAAAATTCAATTTGTTAGATCGTAACGTGTTCACTTCCTTTATTGAGATTTGTATACCGATCAGAGCGTAATTTTAGACGCGGAATCTCGCTTCTTATCCAGCAGGCTGTTCGAGAAAAACTACTCGTATCGTGTGTTGGGAATTAAAATCTTGGCCGCGATATACGGCCCGGAAGATTTTATCTTCCGTCGGGGACATTTAAATCACGCCCGGGTAGGAATGCCGAGTGTACTTTCATCGAGAGCTTTCTTCGATACGCTCGCGCCTCCCCACGCGAGCAGCGAAGGGCCGCCGTACGGGGTTCTTTTATTAGAATCCCGGCCCCGAATGAAAAAGCACTTTCGAAGCTTTTAGGGTGACCCCGTCGCGCATATTGCAAGCATCAATTCCCGGGTACATCGCGATACCCGCCAAAGGTCTGACCGCGTGGCGCCATTCCCGTTGTCAAACGACTCGTCGCATTCTTGCGTACCATTAAGTTCCCGGATAAACGATCCCCGTACCGTTTCCTCTAACGCGGTGCCCGCCACTATTTCCGGAACGGTGGCATGTTTGACACCGTCAAGCTTCGTTACATTCGGAATAAAAACCACCTACGGCGAGCCGAACGAGTCGTGGAAGCTCACAGATTCACCGTCGTCTTAATAAATTCCGACTCACCTTAATTCTCGGCCGTGTTTACGATCCCTACTGCCGCGTGCTTTCATCGGTGAGATAATTTCGTGGGGACGGTTTAAGAGGAAGTTGTACCGTGTTTCCTAATGCTTGGAACTTCGAGAATGTAATAATTTCCTGACACGTATAAATAGACTGAAGCTAGGTACTCGATGCTATTAAGGGGCCTTATCAGTGTGAAATTTAAAAAAAATTTTGTATTTTTCGAAAGCTTGTACCTTAAAAAATATCATAATAAAATTCCCCAAAATTACCTACATTTTTGGCGATCACATTGGTAAGGCCCCTTAAGATCGTTTCATCATTGAAGCTGTACTTAAAATTATACGAACTTAATCAACATTCGATAATGTCAAAGACGAAGTGAATGAAATTGTCATCTCGATTGACGCGATGTAAAATCCCGGAGTGGGTAGCGAGCATGTGGAGTTGGGGACGCGTAGGTAAATCTAAAATTGAGCGAACCATTCGATTCAATTAGGCGTTTTCAACATCCCCGAGCGATAACTCACGGCTTTTGTTTCACCCACGTTAGGTGAAACTCGCCAGCGAGTGCTATACCGACGTGTATATACATACGTCAATTGTATGTACTCGCTCGAGCCAGCTGCGACCCAATTGTCTAGTTTCTAGCGAGACGCGCTGTAAATCACCGACGGCAGACTCTCCGTTTGCACGGAGAACGCTCGTGGAAATAAACGACAACGCGTGGTATGCGAGCGTTCAGAATTTCTATATAAATTGTCGCGTAACTTTATTGCAACGTCTCAAAGGACCGATGCACAGGTCCGATATATATTCGAGTTTCTCGCGCTCCCGATATTTATGCCAAATCGAAGGCAATTACGCTCGAAGCCAGGCCAGAACGATCTCCAGTAACTGTCTCAATTTTCATGCAAATCGAATCGGTCTCAAGCGAAAGTGCATCGCGCGTAGCCTCCTAAATTATTCCTTCCTCTCCGCATCAATAACAACGTTTCAAATAAAAATGTTACATTATCCCGGACGCGGGATGCCGTCGAACACGTATTTGTTATTGCCTACACGTGAGAAAGTGTACTCGTTTTACAAGTCCATTCTTTTATATCACAGACGTTACAGTTCGCGAGCAAACGAACTCGTCGCATCGGCAGGAATCGTGCGTAAAGGTAAATCTTAATGCTGAATCACCGGCAATAGGGATTTATGATCCGCGATCGAACGATCTTGTATCTCGAGCGCCGTCATTAGCCGAACTAATAAACGCCGATTGACAAACACGAGCGCGAGATCGCGAATAGCTTGTTAAATGCTCGATTTAGACACCCAAGATGTGATCTTTGCAACAAGTTGCTTCGCGCCGTTCCCTCTTCGCGGCCAGCGCTGGCGTCCACTGCTCGGACGTGGGCGTGCGTCGCTGTATAATAAGCGAGGCTCCGGAAAATTTCGCCCGTGCATTTATGTAATCGCTTCCGCGCGAAATCTGGCACTTGCGCGGATTCGTTCAGTTCAGGCATTGTTTCTATTCCGAATTTAAACCGCGCGATTCGATATAACATTTACAGCAGTTCTAGCGCAAACGTATAAATATTTTCGCTCGAGGGGTTTCATTGATTGCAACCGGAAAGCCGAGAACGAAGTATATTATTTGACGAGATTTATTGCAAAAAAAATGATTGATTTTCAGGAACTGCAAATGTTAGCTCGAGAAATTATAATTATATTGTCTATTACATTAGTTAGGATATTTCGGTGGATAGTCCTGTGTTCAATTGTAATTTGATTCGACGGTTCCAATATCCAATACACCGATTGTATCAGTTCAATAGATTGTCGAGATAGTTCCGAGCATCCATGAAACAAACAATCGTTTCAGTGGATTACTTCGTCATCCGATTATCGGGGAACGTTCCACGCAATCGGTACAGTTTATTCAGTTAGTGAGATTATTGCACGTAATAACGGTGGAACGTAAATGCAACTGCGAATAAGCCAACGGGAGATTTGTTCGAGAGATTCAATTGCTCGAGCAGTCAAAAAGACCGAAAAAAAGATCGCTCTGTGTTTCTAACGAGGAGGCAATAGGACATATTAGCGCGTAATTGGTCGATCCAATTTAAGATACTTTAGGAAGTCGCTCGTGTCCCGGTTAATTCCTTTTACGCGTTTGGGTCACGCCATCGTGGGTAATCGCGCGGTAATTAAGTTGTAAGTGGATTAATCGGACGTTAGTATGGAAAAAACGGAAGAAGGGCCCCCTTGGGCCGAGGAAATAAATTCATCCCGGTGGTGACGATCGTTTCCCCTCGGTTACGACCGACTCTTTAACTAGATCGTTTTTATCCTTTTATCGCAGCTTCTATACTATTACACTTCTATAAACTCCTAATTGAATACTCGAAGCGTCGTTCAACGAGGACTCGTTTTTCTCACTACCGAAGTGTCTTTTTTCAATTCTAACTGAAAGGAATCGGTTTTTTCACTCCTCTTTCTTGTAACGATAAAGATACTTACGTGGCATGATACCTTGTGCAACCAGCTGATTGATGGGTCGTCTCAGCATCAGCTTCACCTTCAGCGCTGCAACAAACAGAACAAACGAACTTTTACAATCCGTCTTAATCACTTATTGTTTGTACGATCTCTCGAGTCTCACATACACGTTTAATTAGTCCGATCTATCTCGCGGACGATAAAACAAATAAGACAGGGAACATACAGGTACACGTTCTCAATGAGTTTCTTTTTTTTCAATCAACATTCATTTCGTTTTCTTAATATTTTTTCTTCGCCTCGATGAAACGCGTTGGCTTGATTTGCAACAGCCGCGAGGTTTCACCGGGGCAGCCAGCTACGTTCTATAAAAATCGGGATGATCAAAGTCGATCGGTTGGTGGCCATTTCTCGGTAGCTGATATTTTCTTTCCGCGTGCCGTCTAAGCTGTTCCATATGGTGAGACACGCTGGGGCAAAAGAAACGCATGGGGTATATAGATGGAAAAAGGCGTGCGTCCCATCTTTCCCCGGCGGTTAATTGGACCACCGTCGCGCGAAGCTAGTGCTTTCGGGGTTACCGATATAATTAACCAGCAACTGCATAAATTACTCCGGCCTCCGTTCCATTCAATTTATACCCTCAGACACGGTTTATCTATAACAGTATGAAATGTTCCAGCGAGACTGTTTCATGACTATTTATTGATTTGATACACACGAATTCTTGTAATTCGGCGTGGTTCAGTTTTCATGAATGAACAAGGTAGTAATAGTATTCGCTTGGCCTCTGTGTTGTAAAAGATCCGGACGAAAGCTTGCGCTCGTCGATTAACAGCATGGTGTAACAGGTCGAATGTCACTTTCAATTTGAGGGTTGACGAAGAGTCAATGGTCGTAAAGTTAAGGTGCTTTTAACGTCTCAAGATGTTTATCGCTAGGACAGAGGTTGACCCGGTGATTCCTCTTATTACCCCAAAGTAAATATGCCCCGGCAGTCATTCTTGTTTTATAGCTTCTGGCTTACCTAGGCCGTAAAACGAACCCTTGTATACATATACGTATTTTACTCGATTTCAAGGACCCTCGCTTCTTAACCCGTTGGAATGAGGCGACCCTCGGTGATAAAAATGTATCGCGACGATACGCGCGTGTGGAACTATAAACCAGATCTGGAGGGTGTCGGATACAAATTGATTTTTACACTTGCAAGCATGCTCAGTGTTATTCGATATACGATGTTTCACGATAATTGCGATTAGTCACGTGCCGCGTGACAAAATCGCGACGTCGTTCACGAGCGCAGAAAGGTCCGGTAGCGATTTCGGCGTTCGGCTAATTAACGGACGTTGGATCGTGATTCGGAAATCTGGAGGAGCCGGTCGCTGGCGAGGAGTTCGCAGATCAAAGGTCGAGACGAGAGAAAGAGAAGAGAGATAAAAAGGAGAGAAAGAGGGCGGCGGCGTGGATCGCGGGGCCCGGGCTACAAATTAACACACAAAGGGCCCCCGGTTATAAATACGCGGAGTACGCGCCAGCAGGGGCCAGATTGCATAAATTGGCAACGTAAGGAGGAACAAAACCGCATGCTCGCGCAATCTGAATTCAAAGCGGCCCGTGTCCCGGAGAAAAATGTCTACCCTTTTCGGTTTATTGGCCGGCAGACGATGCCGCGCCAACGGGAGGGAGATCTCCCTGCAAGTTTTTTCGTCGATCCACGAGCGAATATGCGATTTCGACGTACCCTGCTCGCAAATAATCGACCGTTCATCGTGTCTACCTTTTCCTCTCTCGTCTCGTTTCACTCGTACGTTTCAATGGCACTAGAATCATCGGCTAGTCTTACGCAGCTAAAATTCCTCGATCGTCTTAAAACTTTTTTTTATTGAATACGGTGAAAGTACTTGACAACTCCGAGTTATTTACTTCTCTAGGGACATAACAGTTATTGCACGATATTCTAAACAACGATAACTGTCCACCTCTGCTGTCTCTAAAGAGGCTATAAATAATTGGTCAGATAAAAGCCGAAAAAAGACATTGCCGTGTAACTGGGACAGGAATGGCTGCACCCGAGGGGGCATCATGGTCCACAGAAGACAAATGGTAACGACCAAAATGGCTACTAGACGCAAGTGCCAAAATGCACAGCGTCAAATACCGAGCCAACGTTTCTTGTATCGTTGCACGGGCGTAAGCGTGTTTCTAATTCGGTATCGCGTTTCATCTTCAAACTTCGTCGACCGCTGTTCAAAGTTCGGCCAGTTCAACTGAATATCTCTCATCGTTGTCGCTTTAATTGACTTGGCCATGTGTCAATAATCGTAATGAAATATGAAACTATTCTTTTATCTTCATCGAAGATTTGAAAGAATGAAAGGAACCTTTTTACAATAAGACTCCGTCGCCAAAATGAATCATTATTTATTGAGAAAGAGAAAAGCCATAATAATAGAAATTAATGAAGAAAGATTTTCGACGAGATTTCCTGCGATCCATTGGACGAGATACCCAATCTCTACATACTTAGTTGTCTCTCGTACGTATGTATGTATGTACCCGGTGGCCTCACGACTCGGTGTCAAGGGACACGCGGATTCCAGCGATGTTTCGCATTTCTCAGAGGGTTCCTCGTTGTTCCTAGTGACGACGAAACGGCAGGTCGATTTAGAGGTAATCGACCGTCATATTTCAGTAATAAAAATTCCTTACAAAATTACTGCCTCCGTTTCGATTTTACGACGGGGCAGGAGGCCGAAAATTCAAATTAGTCGACGAATTAATTGTATACAGTTGAAAAGGTCGCCGTGCTTTACAATAAATTTTCGTATTCATTGCTACGTATTATATCCGACGTAAATACCAATAAAATATTAAAACACAAGAATCACGTGTATATTACAGACATTTATTTGTATTCATGCACAAGTATGTTCAGGATTTGATCTCAGTTCAACGAACATTGATTCCCATTATTTCATTTCGAAATATAGGATCAGGCTGTAAAGCCGCGAACAGATTGTACGTTTCATCCTGCTCTATCCTGGTCCTAATTGTTCTTCGCACGTGCCAGAAAACGGTGTGGGGTCATTTGTTTTTCCAGAATTTCACGCCGGGGATGCCGGGGATGCTTGAGGACGCCAGGTCCGGCGTGTTAATTGTCGCGGTTCACGGAGGTTTCGACGCTGCCTGGAGTTACACGGGAGCTTACACTCCATAAGCATTTACGCAATGCATAGAATGCAAATTCACTCCATACGCATTCTTGCTAAGTGAATCTCCCTTCGCCTTGCGCGTGCACGCGTCCACCCGGTGGTTGTTAAATAAACTTCTGCAATTTTAATCGCTTCGACGGTGGAATCATTGATACGCGCGTTCACTTTAAGCGATCTTCAATTATTTTCTCAACGACATTTTAAATAACTCGAACGATGAAGCACGACGAAAACATTGTTGATTATTCAGGTTTTAAATCACATCGCTGTGGGACAGCCTGTATTTTAAGTGGACACATAAAAAGTATCTTTTCGGAGGTGTCAGGCTGGACATCGAAACCCAGGCCAGAGAGCCGTTGCGTCTCCCACGGCGGATTCTTTGAATGATTACTTTTTTTTTGCAGTCGAATCATCGCGCGATAATCTCGATCGATCAGGGATCTCGGGACGCTTCTTTTTTTTTAAATTGAAAGGTTCGGGAGAGAGAGAGAGAGAGAGGCCTGGAGTGGCTCCCGGCCAAATACGTCGCCTGGAACGAGGGAGAAAGATTGCGATCATTAAGCGCGTCATTACCAGACGTAAATTAGAGTGGTTAAGAGTAATTACGCGCGAGAGTAACGCCGGCGGACGCGTCGCGCTACTGACACAGCTGTCGATCGCAGTTTAAACCGTTCTGCGCCTCTGGGAGTAAAATTAATTCGTGCTCCACCGTATAGACTGTTCGTCGCATCCGTCCGAATTCGTTGACCACGTGATTAATTCGCGCTTCACGGGATCGTATTTTATGATATAGGAATTGTGAGGAAAAATGATCACTGATTAATTCACGTTTTCTAACCACTTGAACAATTTTCTCTAATATGTTGTTCCACTATTTCTTCGTACAACACGAAACCGAACAATGCTTACATTCGACGATCCGTGTTTTGATAATAAAACGATGTGTATTTTTACTCCGGGGGTCATGTTGGAACTATTTAAGCAGTTCCAAGTGGCATTGATAGCCCATTATAAAACGGTGATTAACGCGCGGCTCCGAGACAGCGTCAGGCATTCCAGGCTAATTCGCGGTGTGCCCGTCAACTGTTAAATAAATCTCGACGTTTGCCCGGCACAATGTGCTCGAAGAGCCTTTAAAATCCAGTCGCACGATTTATTGGACCACTAAATCTTTTGCGCGTAATTTTTTTTCCAACGACGAGTCGCGTCTTTCCCCCGTGAAGCTCCTTTTCCGTTCGCGCCGTTCCGTTGGCCGCGGTTTGTAATCCCGTAAAACTGTCGCGGCGCGTACAATCCTCTTTTTCGACGATCCACAGTGAAAAGCTGGAACGAACGAAAGCCGTGGAACGCGGCACGAACGCGGTTCGTGCGAGATTAATCCACCGTGCGGTGAGACGAGGAGATCAACGGGGTCACAAGCGGTATTTATGGGATCGCTAGATCTCGCAACTTCCGGAAACCCTTAACACTTTAACACCGTTACTCAGGATTTCCGCAGGTTTGATTTATCCCGTCGCGCGTTCTGTCCCGATCGTAAAACGAACGAATGAACCCCCGAGGGGATCGTAAAGACAGGAACAAGTTGCAGCCGACCTTTTTAACTCCCGCTCGATCGAATCAGGAATCGGTATTTTTAAGCCATGACACGTCTATCGCCCAAATCCTTGCCTGAGCTTATTGCGTCTGCAGTCCGTTTCGTACGCAAACTGAGATCACCGTTTCGCGAAGGTAATAAAAAAAAAATATATTGCTCGAAAGGAATTACGTGATATTCGAGATAGTATCTGTGTGAGACGACGTAACTAACGTAAGTCGGCCAGGATCGCGGGGGTGATCCAATAATACAGCAGCTTTGGGTATAAATAAAGCCTC